GGCTGGAGGGGGGTCCCGTCAAAGGAACGGTCAGGCTGAGGTACCCGAGTGAGTGGGAGACAAGGAGGGGCAGAGACAGTGCCCAGCGGGGGAGCAGGGCAGAGAGGCCTTGGCCCCACGTCTGCCGGCAGACCCCCCCAGGAGGAGATAGGTCACTAATCCTGTTCGGTCCTGAGAATCACAGTAAGTCTCAGTTCTGCTCTTGGGGGGAGGGGAGGATGCAGCTCAGGCACCCGGGCGGCAAGGTGGCCTCGGCACACGACGCCCATGCGTCCCGCCCGTCCTGGGAGCCGGCGGAGCAATGGGCTGGGCAGGTGGGCAGATCTGGGGGAAGAGGAGCCACAGGAGAAGAGGGGAATTAAAACTGGAGGGGAAGCGAGGCTGAGATGTGAGGGCGGTGACAACACTCTCCCGTCTGTTTGGCTGGGGAAAGGCTCATAAACATGTATAACATGTAAACACGTTCTCGTGGCAACACCCCCCAAGCCGCCGAGGGACCATTGGGCAGTGCTGGCAAAGGGGTCAGACAGTTGCAAGGTGGCAAGATTTATTCGCCTGCATTTGGTCAGCGTGTCCTGAGCAGGCCCTTGGCAACATGCGAGCATTGTTTCACTGTGACTTGTCCTGTCCCGTGAAAACCAGGACAGACGTGCGTGGGGCCTGACTGTGACCCCACGAGCAGCTTCACACACGTGGGCGCCACTTGCAGAGAAGGATTCGGGGTCCACAGGCCGGGTCCTGGGCCTGGGGGGCTCATGAGGAGCTTCCGACAAACGGGAAGCTCTGGTCTCAGCAGGCTGGGAGGTGCCGGTGGGACCGCTGTTCCCGGCGTGGCTGGAGAGGCCTGGTGAGTTGGTGCAGAGTTTTCAGTCCACAAGGCTGAGCCACCTCTGCCTCTAAGGACAGGCTCATTTTAGCTCCAAACACCATCTCGCCCTGAATTCTGATGGGCCCCAGGGGTACTGGAGTGACTTTTTACCGCAAGACGCAGAGGCCGTGCATGTAAGACCACACTAGTAAAAAGTAAGTTTAGACAGATTCTTCGCACACTGACTATGTTTAATTCATTTGTTTCCGAACGCATGTTTTACATGTCAACACTTCCCTTCAGCCGCTGGTTGACCCGCAGTCGGTACAGGGGACACGGTGAAGCAGACGCCCGGCAGGCACCCTTGGGTCTGAAGCCCTGTCACCCTGGTTCACGATTCTCATTCATCTTTACTTTTTTAAAGTAGGTAAACACTTTGACAAATTAGCATTCTATACATCCAGCCTGCAGGAGAAGAAAACCCGGAGCAGGAGGCTGGGAAGGGCCGGGGCAGGACGTCCTGGGTCTCAGTGGAAACGTCTGACATCGGAATCCCAGCGGGACAGGGTGTGGACCCACCTGCTACACGTCCCCAGCGGGAACGTGGCGGGAGCCGCTCACCCCCTGCTGTTTCCCAGATCCCAGCCGCGAAGTCCCTGCTCCGTCTCCCTCCATAGTCGGCAGCGCAGATTTAGGGCCAGCGTGTGTCCTGGGGATAAACACGCATCCAGTTACTCCTGTCGTCACTGAAAAGACCCACGAACACGGTCATCTTGCCCCTTGATGGGGAGCAGATGCCGGTCCTCAGACCGCTTTCTGCCCCAATTTTACCAGGCAGGAGCCCAGGTGGCCGGAGCCCCCCCCCCCACCGTGTCTGCTCCGGAGGGTGTGATGCTGGCGAGTTAACCTCCAGTGTCGCCTTTGCCTCTCAGCCGGCCGTCAGAGGAGTCATGTCGGAGGGAGGCCGGGGAGGGGGTTGGGCTCAGAAGCCCCAGTGCAGCTGGTAAACGTGGGACACCAACGACTGCTCAGCCCCAGTCCTGCCTCACTTGCTTAATCATCCTTTGAGTCAGTAAAGATAAAGTCACTCACAACGTCACAGTGGCGACCAGGAAACACTCCTCAAATCTGTTGTTTCCCACGCTCACTCCGGACGTTCTGCCTTTGGGGTGTCATTTTGCTGAACTGCTCACCCCCAAACTCCCCAGCGGCTCCCCAGCCCCAGCCCCAGTGCTGCCCTGCTTCATTGCTCCCATTCCCACCCCGCCCAGCGGCACCAAGGCCACCATCAGATCTACCGTCCAGTCCATCTCGAGTAGAAATCATGTGTCGTCCAGGACTGAAGGCCACCACTTGCCGACTTCACCTCTCAAACTCTCAGGCCAATTAATTTACTCGACGGGCCTGAAATGCTGGGGATGCCATCTGGCTCCCCTGTTCTCTCTTCTCCAGGCAAACATCTTGAGGTCTGCAGTCGCCTCTCAAAATATCTCATGAACCTGCGGGCACTTCTGGGCAAGATGCCCAGAGGGTGAGAATGTTCTCCAAAGAGCTGGATTCAGGAAAGTTAGACTGACTCCGGGGCTGAGGCACAGGAGGTGGCCCCAGGCCCGTGTCCCCGCCTCCCTCCTGCTCGGGAAGCGCAGCCCCGGGGTCCTGGACTCGGTGGACTCTGGCCTCTTACCCCCAAGCCCAGCGTTGTCCCACCTGCACTGTGTTCTCCTTAATCCTCATCCCCATTTCTTGTGCCCCTGCTGCATTTGGGGCCGGCTGGAGAGCTATTTCCATGAGAAAGGCTCCTTTTGAGCGCACCTTCCCCACATTTCATGTTTCATCCACACTGGCCACATTGTGTACCTGGTTCCCAGTGTCCGGGAGCCGTGTCCGTGTGAGGGGGAACAGAATGTGCTGGAAAATCCCCACCGGCCACAACTGGAATCCAAGAGGGTGCCTGGAGCTCCCTCTCCCTGCCCTGTCCGCGCCCACCCACAGCAACGCAGGGAACGGTGATTTTCTCACACCTTCTGCAGCCCTGGGGCTACCCCCTCGTCCCCACTGCTGGTCAGTGACACCAGATGGAGAACCAAGGTTGATGGTGGGGAAACTGGAAGGATCTGGCTCCTCCTTCTCCGGCCTCGCACTCAGAACCCCTCTTCTGCCTGCCTCGTGCACGACCGTGGGACGGCCACTGGCCAAGGGCAGGACCGCAGGTGTGAGCAGCGTGGCTGGGCCCGGGGCACTGCCGATGGCCCTGGTCCATGGGCGCAGGTTCCATCTTCACGGAGAGGCTGTTTCTCAGAAGCTTCATTTCTCTTCTCCCCTCGTCCTCCCTGAGCCAGACCGTGTTGAAAGAGGTGATACTGAAGCAGCATTTTTAGAAGAAGCCACTATAAATGTCTCCAATAAAGAAACTCCGGCACCTTAATATTTATTCCTCATAGAAAGAGCTGTATTTCTCCACTTTGGGGCTGAGTTGATTACACTCAGGACCTGAATGCCTGCATTTATTTATCCACGTCGCAGCGGGAGCAGGGGTTAACCTGACTGGGGCAGCCTCTCTGCCCTCCGTTCCTCCAGTGGGGTGAGGAGACCACGTTCTCAGAGGCTGGAGGGAAAGCGGGCGAAATGGTGTGTGGGCGCCTCACATCCGATGAGCGGCCGGTGACTGCCAGGGCGTCTGTGCCACACTGTGGGTGGCACTGGGCCCACCTGGTGATCAGTGCAAAGTCCAGGACCAGATTGCAGGGATCCAGGTAATGCCATGTGATCCCTGGCTTGCAGGCAACCGCCCGGATCTCTGCCTCCAGGTTCACACGGCCTTTTCCCTGTGTGTCTGTGTCCAAGCCCCCTTCTACAAGGACACCAGGCTTTTCGGATGAGGGCCCGCCTGCTCCAGTACAGCTCTTCTCCGCTAATTGCGCCTGCAGTGACCCTGTGTCCAGCTGGACACAGTCACGTGCCAAGCACAGGAGGTTAGGCCTTCTACACGTGGGTTTTGGAGACACCACCAGCCGTAGCGAGTATTCACCTCTTACGATGGATGGAAAGATTGGGAAGGGGACCAGCAGTTCGCAGTGGGTCTGACACGGCTTCTAGACACTCCTAGTGGCTTGTGGTTTGAGGAAGGGGCCTCTCACAGGGCCACCTGGGCTGTGGCCCAGGCCGGCGCTTGCAGACGTGTGAGTCTGCAGAGAGCGTGTCCCTTGCATGCCGTTTACCCAGGAGATGCTGCTCCAGTGTCAGCTGAAGGCCGGATCACCGGGCAGCTGGCAGAGGGTCTTGGCGTGTGAAGTAAAGAGCCTGGACTTCCATGGCACCCCGGCCGGGGGGATGCAGAGCAGAGCGGTCACAGTCACAGAGGCTCCCCTTCCAGGGTCTCAGAATAAACAAAAGGCCGTGATGAGACCCAGTTATTGGTCACAAGCTGTGATGTCACAGTCGTGAGATCTGACCGCTAAGGACCGGGGTTCTGACTATTAAAAATCTGTTCCCGTAAGTTTTACACAAACACGGGGAGAAATTCACTTTCAGGTCCAGCCGCTGGCATTTCTGAACGTGCCAAGGAGTCCCTAGAAATGTTGGCTTCACCAGGAAGGTGAGACAAGCACCAGAGGCAGCCGGGAGGGCGCAGGGTTGGCGCGGCCAGAGGGGAGCGCGGCCGGGAGTGCGTCCTGAAGGGCAGCCCAGCAACAGAGGCCGACGCGGACATGGCGTCGGTCGCTGGTGGTCAGTGCGCGGGCCACGGGCCAGGGGCCAGACTGGCCCTCCCTCATTCTGTGCAGTCATTTCCCCCAATACTTTCTATGAAGACAAACAGAACCAAGCAGCACAGAGTCTGACTCTAAGGGCTGAGGGACCAGCAGCAGCGGCGAGGAGGGAGGGCCCTAGCCCCCAGGCGGCAGCCCCGTGGCCCCGCCGGGAGGGAGCCCCCCTCGGGCTCTCACGGCCTACACGCTGAGACCCGCTGCTGACGGCCTGGAGGGCTGCACCGTTTTACCAGAAAAGTTCATCTTTCAATTTCCCGGTTTCCCAGGAGTCTGTTCTTGAGGGAGAGGACGGGAATGAAGAATGAGACTTGTCTCCAAGGCCTTCTTTCTCCGAGACACCTTTGTAGGAGCCTTTACTCCTAACGAGAGGGTACTTCAACACCATCGTTTCACGTCACCGAGAATCTGGCACTGCTAAGTCTCCACCCGCAGACGTCAGCCCCCTAACGTGTACGAGCGGTCGTTCCACTCCTGCTACTGAAGCGCAGTGAAAGCACCGGAGCTGGGGCTGGGGGAGATGGGTCTGGGACGCCGGCAGTCTCCGCCAGCTTCAGAAGAGTAAGCCAGAGCATTACCAGGCGCTCCGTGGACAGGAAGTTACCTCCAGTCTGCAGAAAACCAGGGAGGGACTTACCACCTGCAAACCACTGTCCAGGTGAGGCCTGCCAGGCCGCAGACCAGCACGGCGCCCAGTGCGAAGGAGACCATGGACGCCCTCGGGAGCCTCCCAGAGTCTGGAGCAAGGACAGAGCCAGTCAGTGAGCCTGCTGGGCAAGGGCAGTAGCCAGTGTGCCCTCCCAGGCCCCAGCCCAGACCCGGGCCCCAACCCGCCCTGGTCCTGGGAAGCAAGCTCTTCTGCAGAACCGTCCTTCCATGGACCTCTGCTCCGTGTGCCGGTGGGCGCCTGCTCTCTCTGCCGTATGTGGAGTCGAGCTCTGCTCTGCACTGAGGCCTCCCTTTCGTACTGCAGTAGCCTTAATAAAACATTTTGCTGTTTAATAGGTACCACTGCATTTTTTTTTAATAGGAGCCAGAAGCCAAGTTCTGATTCCTAGATCTGCAGCTGAGTGGCTGTGTGACCCTGAGCAAGCCGCTTACCCTCTCTGTTCTGCACCTGGGGTCACACATCGCGTCTCCCTCACAGAGATCATTCGCGGGGGTTTGGAACAGCGCCCACGCTGCCCGGTGTTTGCTGTGTCCCCTGCATGATCTAGGCTCCGGTGGGAGCCGCCGGGTCACGTTCCCACCCAGCGTCCCAGCACAGCAGACACGCACAGACACCACCTGCTACCACACGGCCGGGGGGCCCCTCAGTCACCCCTACACGTGCTGTCAGACACCACCCTGCTTCCCTGCCGGGATGCACAGGGACTCTGGTCTCACCTACGCAGGTCCTCCCGTCCTCTCCGAGCACGTAAGGGTCCGAGCACTCACACCGGAAGCCGCCCTTGGTGTTTCTGCACCGGGCGGACGCGTGGCAGGGGGGCTCCGGCTCGTCCTCACACTCGTTCACATCTGCACAGACCCCGCAGAGGTCAGACCCACATCCCCACCTCCCAGCTCCCCTTCCGCGCAGGCCAGTGCCTCCCCACCTCTGCCCTGAGTCCAGGAGCAAGAGGGACACCCCCTGGCCATTTCCCTCTGGGCCCTACAGCCGCCCAGGACTCACTCGCACCCTGGTCAGTCTGACCCGCCGGCCCCCTGCCCTCCTGCCCGCCCACGGCAGCCCCTGGGTCCTGCGGCTCCTCCAGGCTGGTGCTGGTCCACGGTCACTTCAGTTCAGACCCTGCACCAGGCGCTGTGGGGGCCTGAGCCTGGGGGAGCCAGCCCAGGACAGAGTCACTGGTAGGTCAGGCCCCAGGCCACCGGGCCTCCCTCAGACTGGGGGACACAGCCTTCCTGGAAGACACAGGAGCTTTCCTGCTGAGTAGGGAGGGAAGGAGGCTGTGAGGGCAGGTGGGACGGAGCCAGCCCATCCCAGGCGGGTAGTTTCCAGTCAGCTGACCCATCCTCCATCCAGCCAGGAGCCCAGATGTGACGCCCAGGCCCACAGAGCAGGCGCGCGTAGCGAGTCCCCGCAAATGAAGAGCGTGTGCGGCCCCCATGGTCTCCTCTGCCTGAACCCATAACCAGCACTGGACTCCCCAGGCTCCGGTCTCCACATGACTCTCTCTGCTCTGGCCAATTCCAGGAAACGAGCGGTCGAAAGTCAGGAAAAATCACATCCAGAGCACACGGTGCACAAACGACACACGGGGGCAAGTGCTGCACACGCGTGTTCTCGCGCTGGGCCTGGTGTGGAGGGGGTGGAGCTAACAGGTGTTCAGCCCCGGCTGCTGGCCACGCGCTTGCTCTCACCTTGGATCCCGGTGCCGCCCACGTGCTGGGCGGATGGAGAGTGGAATCCGGAGAGACGGGGCCGGGGGTGCTCGCCCACGAGGAGAAGGGGGCTCCTGCGAGGCCGGTGGGGACCTGGGCCCAGCTCACCAGGAGGTGGGGTCCTTCCTGGCCTCTCCCAACGCTGGGGGCTGCTGGCTGTCCTGGCAGCCTTGGCTTGTGGCTGCATCTCCCCAGCTCTTCATCTTCCCCTTGTTTGTCCTCTTCCTAGACGGACACCAGTCGTGGTGGACCAGGGCCACCCCAATGGCTTCACCTCAACTTGACTGCACCTCAAAGGCCCTATTTCCTGATAAGGGCATGTTCTGAGCAATTGGGGTTTAAAGGACTTCAGTGTCTTTTTTGGGGACACAGTTCAACCTGATTCACTCCACGGTCAGGTTCTTCTATTGGAAACCACAGCCCGCACCGGCGGGTGAGGACGCCTCAGTTCGCGTGTCCAAGGAGAGGTGTGGCGGCACCTCAGGGCCCCGGCGAGCAACCAGCATCTGCACAGACGTTCCTTCTTCCCTCAGCATGTCTGCGCCGACGGAAAACCTCATTCCCCCTGACAGATGCAGGGACGCTTGTCTGAATTCGTTTATTGCATAACCTCTCGGCAAAAGTAGAGCGAAAGGCCCCAGACACGGAGCTTTAGTCCACTCTGACGTCATGACTTTAAAGCCCTCGAAAGAGACTCATTGCAATTCATTTGCTTTTTTTTTTTTTTAACGAGGATGATTTTGGGGAAAATGCAGGATGTGAGCAGAGGTGAGAGGAGCGAATCCCATTTGATTTTGTGAATCAGCCGCTGACTGAAGCCTGCACCGCCCTCCTGCAGCCCTGGACATGCGGCTGAGCGACTCCACCGAGGACTGGCAGCAGCTCCTATGCGGCTTTGGTTCACAGCAGAAGTGGAGGTCCCGCCCTGCTGCACCTCAGAGGCATGTTTTTCCTACAATTCTTGACTTAGAAACTTCTAGCACAGGGCACAGACCAGGAGAGATACTCTGTGCATGAGCTAGTGCGTCTCCAGTGGGTGGTCTCTGCCCAGCTTTCTGTAACACACTTACTTTAAAGATATTACATCTTGATTATCAGTGTACTCACACAAAGTCACAGGGTCATATGGACCCTCCCCACCCATTCCATCTCACAATACCAGGGTGACCAAAATGTCCATGAGAATGTTTATACGGTTAAAACAACAAATAGGTCCCACTGCTTTTGAAAAGGTGGGGTCCCATCACTCCCACTGCTCTGTAACTTGCATCTTTACTTAGTAACATGTTACAAACCGTATTCCAAGTCGATGAACTACTGCTGATTTATTCAGTGTAAGCGGCATGTTGAGGACGGGCCAGGGCTTACACCACCGCCTTTGACGGGCTGTGTTAGTAACCGTGGGAAGGGACCTTGTTCTCGTGTGTTTAACTATCCACACAGACGAGCAGTGAGGTAGACTGATTGCCACCCTCGTCTTACATCTGAAAGCACAGAGGCACAGAGAAGCCATGGGGCTGGGAGGCAGCTGTGGCCCCGGCTTGGGGGCACAGAGATGGTACCCTGTTAGCACAAGGGAAGCAGATTCAGGGTTAGAGCTGGCTTCAAACCTGCACCGTAACTGGGTCTTGTTAGGAACACAGCTTGTGACTCAGGACCCTGGGGGGCCCGAGAGTCTGCGTTTCCAGGAGCCCCGGGTGCTGCCCCTGCAGATCCCAGACCTCACGATGTCCAAGACTTGTACCAGGGTGATGGGTCACGGCCAGAAGAGGTCTCAGACCCCAGAGCACCCTGTCTGGTTCAGAGTCCAAGCCGATACTGTCAGAGGTTGATACACGTCTTGCACGTGCCTTCAGGGAGCAGTTAATTGTTGGTGTGAAAAATTACCTCAGAAAAGAGACGGGAGGCGGGCAGATGGATGGTGGTGGAAGGCCTTCAGGACGAGGAGCGCTTCTGAGGTCATTCTCAGACTCGTGGAGAGGAGACAGGAGGACCTCCCACACGGAAGCCAGCACGAGCCGGAGGTCGGAGCACGTCCGCGGGCAGGTGGCTGAGCCGAGGGACAGACCTGCCATCACTCTCTCGTTTCTTCTCTTTTATTTGTACCTCGCTGATCCCTGTGGGCTTTGGGCTCATAAATTTCTAAAACAAACAGCCAGCATGGTGCATAAAATGTCCAGGTATTTAAGCAAAAAGATGGGAGGCACACAGGTGACGTTCATGCCTGGAACACACAGGGCGCCCAGGACCCCGAGGCCCGCGTTCTGCTTCCTTGTACGGCCGCCGTGAAGACCACGGGCCTGGGCGGTGTGAGCTCGTCAGCTGTGCACCAGTAGGAAGCCAAAACGATACTGAAACTTCTCGACTTGTTGGACGTTTGCTCCTGGAGGGTCGCCTACAGGACGGTCGGGGGGCCGAGAGGGTGTCAGCCGTCATGACAAACGCAGGGATGCCCACATTTCAGAACAGCTGGGCTCCTGTCACGTGAGGTCCCGGCAAGGTGATTCTCTGATGGGACCTCCGGGAGGAAGGGCCTGCCCATCTCCTGCAAGTCCAGGGTCATCAGGACCAACCCCCTGAGAGATGTGGGGGTGGCCGCCTTGGCTCCCGGCCCACGTGCTGTGGGCACAGAGATCTGGGCACGTGAAGAAGCAATAAATTCCCCTGAACTGCTCAGGCTTCTGATCTTACGTTTCCAAGCAGCCCCCAAACTGCGCCGTCGGCTCTTCTCAAGTTGTGTTCTGGACGCTGCCCCGAGGCCGCTTCTCTCTCTTGTCCTTTCTCTCACCCTGAGGGCAGCGGCCTGCACCTTCCTGAGACAGGGGCCCAGGCGGAGCTCTGGGAGTCCCTGGGCCCCCAGCCTCTTTGGTCTCTCCCTCTGCTCGTGGAGGTCTGGCAGGGGCAGCCCCTGTAGCCCAGCCAGGACACATCCCAGAGTCCCCGAAAGTGAAATGAAATGTTGTTACTGCGGTGAAATGCACGTAACGGAAGATTTACCACCTTAATTACACTTAAGTGCACACTTCAGGCGCATGAAGTACATTCACGTGGTTGACAACCACCACCACTGTCTGTCTCTGGAAGTTTGTCATCTTCCCAAATTGAAATTATAAAACTGAGCAGGTTGGACTCTGTCATTTCTTACAAACCAGCCCGACTCTCACGTGGTCCATCTGCTTCCCCGCGTCTTCCCAACGCAACTCCTACAAGAGCCCCTCCACTCCTGCCCGAGGTCAGCATCCTCTCTGCAGGGGTCGTGCCTTTCCCAGGACAGCGGGCAAGTCTGAGCCAACGCCCCCCATCCCAGAGCATGAGTGCTGGCTTCCAGCACCCATCCCGGCCCAGCTGCTCAGCACGGGCCACCCCAGGGTGCAGGGCCTGCTCTGGGGCATTTCTGCCTGCGTCAGGGCCACTCGCTGCTCTGATGGACGCCCTGGGATCAGGGCTAGAGCAGTCCACGGTCACTCCTCACTGGCTGCTCCGCCGGCATCCTCACCGCGGCTCCCAAGGCCCTTCTAGGAATCGGAGGGAAAAGCGAGGGAGCTTCTCCCAGGGGCCCAAGGCGGCTGCCCTGCTGCTGCCCGCGTGGTCCTGGTGAGTCAGGAAACCCCATAAAAAGAAAGGCAGGACCCCCGGGGCAGGGCCACTGCTCTCCTGCCAGCACCATCCGGTTCCCTGGCCCAGAGGCTCTAGCTCACTTTTTTGCCTCTGAAATGGCTTACTTACCCCTAAAGTTCTATTGGTTCCCTGAGCTCACTCCTGATTGGTTATTTCTCTCCCTCCTGATTGGTCCATTTCTACAAAGCTTGTTCTTAATTAGTCAACTTTCCTTATACCTCATTTGCATATGATGCTGCAAAGTGCAAACTGGCAGCCTATAAAAGCCGGTGTAAACCTACAGCCAAGTCCAGAGCTTGGAATGTTAACTCCTCTGGGCCTGTTGGTGTAATGAACCTGAGTTCTCCAGCTCTCCGAGTGCTGCTTGGTCTCTCGCTGGGATTGAGGTTGCTGTCACCACTGAGCTGTAACACATTTTTCTGCAACACTGGCTCCAAGTCCACCTCTGAGGGAGGGGGCCTGGGCCTGGGCTCAGCACCCTGAGGGTGAGGCCTGGCCTGGAGTCAGGCCACCAGGGCGGGGCTGTCCTACCAGTGCTCCTGGGGAAGCCCCTGTGCTCTGTGTGATCCGAGCACCTCACTCCCCGAGGTTCTGCTCTGTCCCCCCCACTCCCCCGGTCACCCTGAGGACGTGTTCGCATGTGACTGTCCTGGTGCCTCTTTTCTAGAAAAACGCCAGCTTAGGAGCACGGGCCGCGGAGAAGGGGAGACTTGATTTCCTCACACAGTTCCTGGAAGATGCCCACGCTCACAGGCGCCTTACGGTAAATGACACTTACTTACCTATTTGGGAGTTTCCTTTACTTTTCAAAATTTTTTTTGAAGCATAGTTGCTGTACAGTGTTGTATGTTACAGGTGTACAATATAGTGATTCACAGTTTTTAAAGGTTATTTTTAAAGGATGTTTATTTTTAATTCCTATTTGAAAAATGCAGATTTGGGGGTCAAGACATGAGAAGACACACCTTGAGATGACTGACCTTTACAGACGGGGGGCTGGGAGTCCCATCCTTTGGGGGTGCAGGTGACTTGCTCTGGCCCTTGGAGCCGGAATCCGTGACGACAGGAAAACACCAGCACACGCTTTCCAGGCTCGTCACAGAGCAGGAAGCCCCCGTCTTCCACTTGGCTGGGGAAGCCACACGTGTCCTCTGTGGGCACATCAACACGGGACCCTGGGACAAAGCCCCCCAACTCGGGCTCCTGAAGGCCTCACTTCGGCACGTCTCCCTCCCTGCAGGCAGGTCCCCCCAGCACTGCGTCTCCAGCCCCTGCGTCCTTGCAGCAGTCGTGTCTCCAGTTCTTCTCCCCGAATGCGCTCTGAGCAGGCTCCCCTCAGCACCCCGACAAGATGGCTTTAGCCAAAGCGGATGGTGGTCCTCACTGCACGAGGCAGGGGCTGGCCTTCCTGCCCTCTCCCACTCTGACCACAGTGGTGGAGCTCACCCTCCCCATGCCTGCTGGGAGACCCGCCTCACCCCTCCCTCCCCACCTGAGCCGGTCTCTGGGCCCCTCCCTTCGGGCGCCCTCGCCTTGGCTGTGTCCTGCAGTTTCTTGGCACAAAACACAGTCTGTACAGGTGGGCTTTACAGAAAAACCCCAAATTCACAGCCTCTTCCTGGAACCCCCCTCCTGCAGGGCCAGCTCCACACAGAGGGCGAGGGGCAGCTCAAAGCTGCCTCGTCCACAACGGAGCCCTGGCCTCCTGCTCCCTCCCTCCACTCAGGCCACCCCAAAGGGGTCCTCCTTCCCTGGGGGGGGGTCTTCCCGATGTCCCCCCTCGTGTCCCCTGCAGCGACCGGGCAAGTCATGTGGACTCCACCTACCAGGACATCAGACCACCCAGCGCCCCCTTCCCTCCTCCTCCTCCGGGGAAGGAGGCAGCAGACTCACACTGACCCCCCAGGTGCCCTGATCCCCAGCCCCCGGGGTGTTCCAAACACGGGCCGGTGGGGTCTCCACAGGCGGCTCCATGGAAAACCTACCACACAGGGTCTCGCTCAGAGCAGCAGACACAGGCCTAAGGGGCTGGGGTGACGGGCCTCTCCATTTCTCTGGTCAGGTCTCTGGTCTCCCCCCACCCCCTCCGCTAGACCCTCCCCTGGAGACTCCGCCCACGCAGCCCCTTGCCTGGTCCTTCATGCTCTGGTTGCCCATCGCCCGTGCGGCCCGGCACATGCTGGGCACACATCTCTTGTCTGTCTCGTGTAGGGGCTGTGAAGCCCCGTGTGTGTGTCTGTCCCTACAGACGTGCCCAAGTGCCTGGAAAAGGGCTGTCATGTGGGAGGTGGCAGTTAATAAACCCCAGGCCCTGCTCGGAGCCCGGTGTCAGGTGACGGAGAGCGGGCCTCACCCGGGACAGGGGAGAGCAGTCAGTAACTCCCGCAGGTGAGGGCGGACAGCTGAGTGACCGGCCAGCACGGCGCGGCTGAGTCGGGGGCCCGCCGTCGGGGGCCCGCCCTCCGGCCTGGCTCTGCCAGTCAGTAGAGGAGCAAGCTGGGGACGCAGAGTCCAAACGTGGGGACCTCTGCTGTGCTGACTGAGCCCCGTGTGGCCTTCCGGCTCCTGGCCAGTGCTGTCCTCCCATGGCCTCTTTGCACCAAGTGCCGGTCACTCCATTGGCCGTAGAAGCATGCTCTGCAACCTTCTGTTGCCCAGCCTGAGCGACTCCGGCCCCACCCCCGTCCGGGGACACGGGCTGCTCTGTGCTCAGTGTTGGTTGCCCCAGCTGAACGGGAGCCCCCGAACCACAGCACACAGCACAGCACAGCCGCATGTGCCACTCACTCTCTCGGTGCTTACAGGACGGTGTCTCCAGGCCAGAATGGGGTCCTCAGACTCAGACCCGCCCTTCCTCACGGAGGAGAACACTCCCGGGACCAAACAGGGCGCGGAGATGGTTTCCTCCAACCAAACGGATCTGAAGTAGTTGCTCCAAAACGCAGCCCTTCTGGGGTGGAGTCCCTGTTCTTCCACCCGGTTTGAGAGACGCTCGCAGTTACCTGGAGGCAGGGCCTCCCTCCATGCGTCCAGGTTCATGCCCGGGATGTGATCACAAGGCTCGAACTCCTGGGGCCACCTGGAGACCCGGAAGGTGTCAGGGGGCACGTGAGCGAGGCCGGTGTTGTCGCAGATGACGCGGGCCAGGGAGTGCTGCCCCAGCTCCTGCCGCTGCGCTTCAGTGAACACCGCCTGGTTCTCCCACCAGAACCTGCAGGAGGGACAGACGAGGACACATGAGAGCACAGCCCCGGCCCCTCCGACCGCGTCCTGTCGGCCTCTGTCCCCAGGCTGCTCCCGCCCATGGCCTGCGACCCCCCATCGGGGAGGAAAGAGGCCAGGATGGCCCTGGGGCAGGCGGATGGGTGAGTCAGAGTGCCCACAAGCTGTTCGTCCTGCTTGCGGCTCCCTCAGCCAGCCCGGCTGCCCTGGTTCTACCCCGTGGAGGCTGCTTTCAGGACATGAAGGATGACGGACGTCCTCTTTCAGGATGCTCTCCGGCCCAACCAGCAGGGGTTCAGATTCTGGGAAGCAGCCTCAGTTTCCTCCCAAAATCGCTGACAAAGCCCCAGAGCTCCTGGCCTGGATCCATGAGGCTTCCCGCCAGGCAGCCCCTTCCAGACCCAGCGCCTCCCCGTATTGCCCGCGGAGGGCGCTGGTCCTGGGCGCCTACCGGTCGCCGTCCCTCAGGGCCTTCATCTGCTTTCCGATGATGCAGGCAAACAGCGGGCCTGTCCGCGCCCCCGGGAGGAACTTCTCAGCCAAGCCGCCCAGCCAGACGTCTATGTTGTCCGGGTGCCGGTACAGGGCCAGGATCCTGTCGGCCACGCTCCGGTTGGCCATGGCGGCGGCCAGGTCAGCCTGGGTCTGCAGGGTGGACAAGCCGCAGAACTTCCTCCACTCATTGTAACCTGTGAGGGAGGGTGGAGGCCTCCTTCTCAGGGATCCGAACATGCTTCTGTCTACACAGCCAGCGCCGAGGGACGGCACGTGAACTCCTGCCTCACACGCCGTACTGAGTGCGGCCGGCACCTCGCCGAGGCTCCCCGTCTCCTCCTCTCTACTCACTTGTCCTATGTCTACTGTCCTTTAGCCGAGACTGCGTCTTGTTTTACGTCCAGGGCCTCCAACACAGCAGACCCCGGACGGAACCGCCAGATAAATGTGTGGACGTGAGGGGCTGTGTCACGGCTGGACAAGCGCCCCTGGGGTGCTGAGCGTCAGGACAGACCCCTGGGGGGTTAGATGAGGGAGAACTGGGGGAGATGGTCTCATATTTCCAGTTAGACAGCGAGGGGGCCACGAGGCTGACAGAGAGACTCACCGGAGCCAAGGGAGGAGGTTTGAGTTCTGCTCAGGCTCCAGAGGGAAGCCTGTGGAGCGGGGATGCAGTGGGGGCAGCGGTGAGAGCGCCAGGGTCAGGGACGAGCTGCGGGGAGGTAGGGACACGAGCCACAGGGGTCCTGCCAACGGGACTGGACGGGGCGGGGGTGGGGGAGAGGAAGGGACATCCCTGGGGAAAGCAGACTGGACGCTCCGCGGCCCCTGCCAGGTAAACCGGGAGGAGACTTCCCAGCGCAGGGAGGTCGCCATCGCATCGTTACAAAGAGCACGTCTCTCGTCTGCTTGAGCCTCGACCTAAGGATCAGGTCTAGTTAAGTGGACGTCACACACGGGGCTTCCTGCCCCATCCAATTCCCCCACATGTGAGGCTGAGGATTAGGGTATCGCCTGAATTTTTTCGCTCCGTCTCCTTAACAGCGTTTTAAGTGATTATACTTCAAACTACCCAGGGTTTCGAGGTGGTGGAAAGAGCTAATCTGTGTAAAACTTCAGAGTGGGCTTTGGGATCAGGTTCCGAGGCCCAAGTGAGCGGGACACGCCCCGGTGGGGGGTCTGCAGTCAGCGAGATGAGGACAGTGTGGGCCCCGCCCGGCGGAGCCCCTGGGCGCCAGGACAGCAGAGCTGCACACGGACCTTGGGGTCTCAGCCAGGCTGAAGGTGGGCCAGACAGCTGAGCCGCAGGGGCCCCAGGGCAGAAGGCCTCAGGGAGGGGGGACGTGGGTTGGTACAGGTGAGGGAGGTGGGGGTCAGAGTGGGCGTGAACAAGGGGGGAGTGAGGAAGTATGCGGGCAGCTGCCTGGCCCACGAAGAGGGTCCTCACTCACACCAGTGACCAGGAGACTGGACCAGCTGGTCAGCGAGAGCCCCCAAGGCAGTGGAGTAATGCCCACTTCCCTGGGAGATGCTCTGAGAGGGAGGAGGTGGGCATTCCGTGTCCTGCTTCCTGCCGGGGAACGCCTCCCTCTGCCTGCCCTGGGACAGCTCAGCCCGTCCCTGCCTGGGGCTGAGAAAGCCGGATGGTTCAATCCCACCAACTAAGGCGCCCTTGGGAGCTGGTGGCGGGCCTGCAGGTACATTTCACCACAGACCAAGGACAGCGGCTAATCCGGAGCCTGGGAGCGGAGGGAAGGGAAGTGGGGGCTGACCTGGCAGGCCGTGGTCCCGGCCCCGCTGCAGGTTGATGGACGCCAGGTCCAAGGTCCCCGAGTCTGACCGCACGAAGAGCCTCTCCGTCAGCTCCTCGTTCATCAGCTGGTCCTGCACCTGCAGCTTGGCTGGTCGCGCCAGGAGGCCCCTCATGACAGGGTCCACGCCGCCTGGAAACATCAGAGAAGGCAATGAGCTTTCTCAGGTGAGTCCTGGAGAAACAGAACAAGGCCTCGACCGTAAACTGTGCTGGTTCTGAACAGATGTCCTCACGAGTTCAGGAATGCACCTCCTGGGACTCCCATGTCTCCCAGGCCCTTAGGATGCTGCCCTGTGTTGGATTCACTCATCTGGACCCCGACGGGCCTGGTCGAGATGTGCATCTGGGGGGGGGTGGGACACGGGGCCTCAGGGGTGGGGTTTTGTTGTTTCTCAGCAGCAGAAACGTTAGAGTCAAAGGAAGCGTTTGCTGATTCGAAGTCCAGACCCATGAATGGAAGGTCCGGCCTGGCTGAGGGGCAGACGGGGCCCAGGGCCCCGCGCCTGTGAACCCAGGGAACTCCAGAAGCCCCAGGTAAGTGTCCCTTTCAAACCCCTTTGGATGTGTTTACTTTCTCCATGCATGCTGGCCCCCGGGGAGTGTCTAGCCAGGGGAAGGGTGACTGCACACCACCTAGCCCCGCGGGTGGCCGAGACGGAGGCGCACCTTCCCCGAGGAGCCGCCAGGGCTGGAAGAAGGCATCATGCAGCGGCAGGCGGGGCAGGCCCGGGTGCTCCTGGAAGCGGGCGTCCAGCCGCCTCACCAGCGGGTGGACCGAGGCGTGGCCGAAGCGGAAGGCAGCCGTGGAGAACACGTTGGACACGGTGGGGTCCACGGCGGGGTCGTAGCCCTGGTAGGGGCCCACGTGCTGCTCGAAGGCCTCGGGGCCCAGGATTTTCGGGACGTAATCTCGCAGGGTGATGATCTGCCAAGACAGGAGAGCAGGCGGGGGCAGTGGACGTGGGGTCACAGTCACAGCATTGGGCGGCTTCCTGCTGCCCAAGCCTGGGGGCCGCTGCAGCCCCAGAGCTGTCCCGGGGTCATGTCACCTGGTGAGGGGGCAGGGGGCAGGGGGGCAGGTGCAGTGACACCACTTACTCCAAACAGTCCTGCGCTCTCGGCCTTTACGAGGTTGGGTGGAGTGTGTCAGAGACACTCCAAACACACCCCAGACCAGGCCACAAAAACTGAGGGCCGCTCAGCTTGGAAGACTGACCAGGGAGGCGCTGCCTGCTACGCGCCTTCCAGAAACGTGACACAGTTTCTATCCGGCAGTTTCCCCCTCACTTGCTCCGTTAGCCCCGGACCTAAAGCCAGACTCGGCAGCCTGTCCCTTCAGGGGGTCTGGGCGTCGGTGGCTTCCGACCCCACCCCCCACCTCTCATCCGTGTGACTCCGGGAGCTTTCCTAGTCTTTCAGAACCTGCTTCCTTTCTGGAAAAACCTCTTAGAATTTTTGTGAGAAGAAACAAACAAGCACGGGCTATATGTGCTTCACACAGTACATGCATACGTGTCACGCAGAGTAGACGCATGTGTCACGCAGAGTAGACGCATGTGTCACGCTCAGCAGACCCCTGCATGGACAACTGCCCGCTCCCCAGTTTAAAGGAAGTAATGCACAGGTTAAAGGTCATATGTGGCCTGAGTGCCTTTCATAAACTGGAATCTGGGCAGACACCAAGGGCCCGTGTTACTCCTCCATCTTTCCCGTCTGCATTGTCTGCGCCAACGCTCGCCAGCTCCTGCAGAGGCCACAGAAACACAGCGGTAAAGGGACCATCAGAGCTGTCCACAGAAAATGAATTCATGCCGTGGGTTTTAGAAATGAATCGAGATTCCTCCGTTTTGTACCATCCTGCGGTGACGTGTTGCATTGTGTCAAACGAGGGGCCAGGCGCGGGCACGGAGCTGGGTGCCCTCACGACCCGAGGATGAAGCCAGAGGCACGGAGGTAACTGCCCATTTGACCAGGTCTCCACAGCAAGGCTCAGGTGGAACTCCGCAGAAGGGGTTCTGGGCGCTGTGAAGGCTGCGGGGGAGGTCCGTTCATGGGCCCAGGATGGTGGCGGGGCTGGCGGCCCGGGTGGAGTCCCACAGGGAGGCTGGGTCAGTGGGTGTGACCTGGCCTCGGGCCCTGGCGGCACAGACCCCCTCCCGCGGGCGACCCAGTGGCAGCGCTTTCTCCTGCCTGGTTCCTCCAGCTGCTCCGAGGATTAAGCCAGAGTCAGCGCGGATGGAGGTGCCCGTCGGGCTCAGCCCCGTGCAGTCCCGCGCCTTGTCATTCCTGCTTGCCTCGTGGTCCCCGAATCACGCATGAAGCTCTGCTTTCCTTTTAGCTGTGAAACTTCGGGTCACGTTGTTTTTGTATTTAAAGAGAATCTTTTGGTCAACAAACCACATCCCCAGGAGGTGTATAGGCCAGCAGGAAGGACGTCCTCCCAGAAGGGAAGGCCGCGTGTCTCAGCTCCCGGGTGGGAAGGGCAGCGCAGCGCTCAGACTGCCGGAGGAGTAAGAGGTCGCATTCTTGTGCACAGTCTTCCAAACGATAAGGTGCGCTTCCTACGCGCAGAGCCCGGCACGTCCGGGGCCAGCGGACGTGGTGCGTGAGCCCGAGGCCTCCCGCTGAAGTGGGGGAGCCCCCGCACCGCCGCGCGTTCTGTCACCTGTGAGACCCGGCAGACTGGGACGGGGGGCCCCGGCTGGGGCTTCTAAACTGGGGGCCCTACCCGAGCTGGTTCACGGGCCGGAGAGAAGCGCCCGCGCTACCAAAGGGCGTTCGAGAAGAGCAAGGCCTCGAGGGATAGAAGCAGCCTTGGCCTCAGATGCCGCCCACACCGGCAGAACCCGGCCACAGACGCACCCAGGGCCTTCTCCCGGCCCCACGAGGTGAGGTGGCCCTTCCCACCCAGGACACGGGCAGCAACTTCCACTGTCACCAATGTTCTTTGATTTCTTCTCCCTCCTCCGCCAGGACCCTGAGCCAACTTTAAGTTCAAGTGCAAACTATTTAATGATGCCTCCGCCCTCCCTCCCTCAACTCAGGTTTGACTTGTGGCCCCAGAGTACGCAGGAGGCACGGCCGCTGTCTCAGGCTGACAAGGCTCCTCTAATCCCAGAGCTGCTCCTTCAGGGGCCAAGGGGCCCCTTTTATCTGAGGCCGTTCGTGCCCCCTGCTCATCCCCGCGTCTGACCTTGCCACACGTCCCCCTTCACAGCGCTCCCATGATCTGATTGGGGACGTAACAGAAGTGAATTTGCTAAAATGCCTGGCACTCTCCCCAAGGTGGGGGCTGCAGCATCATTTTCTGATCAACGGGGCCTTGAACATTGGCATCTCACCAGCCTGTTCCTGGGGCCTCGTATTCACTCCTGCACACACATTCTGAAGTACCTCTTAGAGCCAGCCCCGTCCAGGGGCCAGAAGGGAATTAAACAGAGGACACCTCGGTCTCTGTGGGGAAGGGGTGCAGGCGGAACTAAACAAATGCGGGCGGTGGAGACGAACAGGACAGAGGTGTGACCCCGGGTTCATCCACAATGAGAGGGAAGCAGCAGAGGGAAGGTGGGCCGTGGGGACCTTGTCCTGCTCTCTGCTGGCTGGCCCGGCCCACTCGGCTCTGGAAGGTCAGGGGAGGCCTGACGGACGAGGTACTCGATTTTTATTTAAAACGGTCACTCTAAGACTCCAGTCACGTTGTGCTGCTGTGGGTGGAATTTGCTCAGACTCGCCCTTCATAAATTCCTGTGTCTTTTTATTTTGTCAGTCCCGTCTGTTCACGTCTCTGAAGCTCGTTTACCCTAAGCTGCAGCGCTAACCCCGGCAGCAGCCCAACTGTGTCAGATCCAGTTTATACTCTTCCCCCTGGACCACGCACACCCCACGCCCACATCCCCCACACACACCCTGACTCAGCCTGGGCGACTGCTCACCCAAAATACACTGGGGGTAAAACCCTGAAGCCTTTCCCTGTCCGGTGAAGACCCACCAGCACCCCAGTGCTGCCCAGCCTCTCCTGGACCACGTCCGGCACCCCCCCCAACCTGCCAACATTTACAGGGTGATGCCGGCTACGGGGGGCACTGCAGCCTCTGTTCTGACCCCAGGGTTCTGGGCTCAGGGGACCACAGGTGGGAAAGGAGCAGGCTGTGCCCAGAGCAGCCCATCCCATCTTGTGGTCCCCATGCCAGCTTGGACAAGACCCGAGCTGCTCTGTAAAACAGGATTTATAGGGTCATCGAGGGGATAAAGGCATGCTGGCAAGGGCCTGCTGGAGTGCCCAGACCAGAGACACACAAGTGGGGCCACTGAAGCAAGCCACATGCTCCACCTTCATGACAGCCTGTGAGTCCAGTGGCTTGGCAATGGTATTTGACGGGTGTAAGTGATTATCCAACATCACTCCATTAATAACTGGCCAGCCTGACACTCCAACCAGTGTCCCCTGGCTCAAGATTAAAAATCATTGTAATAAACCCTCACTTTAGTTTGCTAATTCGCAAATCTCACACAGATTGCTTCTCTTTTCATTTTCTCATTGTCTCCCAAACATAGAAATATCAAAATCACTCGTGGGCGCCCGCCTCAAAGGGTTGCTGTGAGGGTCAAATGAGTTAAAATCCCTGCAGCCCTTAGAGTGGTCTGGGCGCCAGGAGACCACTGGCCAGCTGTGCCTGCTGCCACTGCTGCGTGGCTTTGGTTACCGTCCGTCTCCTGGTTGGGACGGTAACCGCCAGCCCCAGGGGCGTGGTGGGCTCCCACGAGGGGGCCAGGAGCCTAGAGCTCCGGAAGTGGGTGGAGTTAAGCTCGCTGCAGGGCGCCCCCAGGATCCCGCACCCACCCATGCGGGGCACCCATGAGAACGCTGCGTGCACCAGGGGCAAAGCACCCCCGAGGTCCTTCCGCGCACCCGGTGGGGAGCAATCACGAGGCCCTGCGCGCACCTGGTGCAGGGCGCCCACCACCTTGCGCGCCTCCTGGTAGGCGGTGTCCGCGCTCCAGTGCGCGTTGCGGGCCTTGAAC